ATGTAATTAACACAGCAGAACTTTTGTTTAATTAGTTACATTTTCAGCCTTTAAATGAGAAAAAAAAAAAACAAGCCATGGGTGGTCTGTAACCTCAGAAGAGCAAATACAGCATGCTGTAAAATCATCCCAGCTCAGAATACTAGGTTGGACATAAAAAAAGCATTTATTGAATCCTAAGCCTGAGTCAGGAACAGAAGGTGCATTAAGAGCTTCCCAACTGCAGCTTACCACCAATTCATTAAGTGTTCGGCATTATTTAATAAAAATGGCTTATGCATCTACTTTAACTGAAACACTATTTATTCATAAACATTTTTAACCAGAGTATCTGTTGGGACTTATTCACACACCAGTTCAGGGACAGTTTCAAGTTCTTCCTTCAAGTAAACGCATTCAATTCTCATTGCTGTCTGCCTCACTTAGGCTGCAAGTCTGCAAGCAGAGCTAGGCCTATATTTTGCAATTAAACGAAGGGTCTCAAATAGTTTACAGAGACCAGGACACGTTGCTATTAATGTCTTGGTAAAGTATTAACATTACAGAAGTGAGAAAACTCCTATAATTTGTGTAATAGCATTAAAATGATTCTGCTGTCCTTATGCCTGAATCCCAAATTTGAAAATAAATCCTCTTTTTTTGGCTATTTTATCATAGAATCACAGAATGGTTTGTGTTGGAAGGTACCTTAAAGCTCATCAAGCTCCAATTTCCTGCCTTGGGCAGGGATATCGTCCCCTAGACCAGATTGCTCAAAGCCCCATCCAACCTGTCCTTGAACACTGTCAGGGATGGGGCAGCCACAACTTCTCTGGGCACACTGTGCCAGCGCCTCACCACCCTCACAGGGAAGAACTTCTGCCTAAGAGCTCACCTCAGTCTCCTCTCTGTCAGTTTAAACCCATTTCTCCTTGTCCTGTCACTACATGGCCTTGCAAAAAGCCCCTCTCCATCTTTCCTGTAGCCCCCTTCAGGTACTGAAGGTCTCTTGGGAGTCTTCCCCAGCTCTCAGCCTGTTCCTACACCAGAAAAGTCTGCTTCATCAGAGAAGTTTGTCTCCAGGTAGGCACTTAATAAAATGGTCAGACCTTCTACGGAGCTAGAGTTGTCTCTTGAACAAAAATCATGACACTACTGAGTGCTGAAACAAGGGCTGAGCAGATCTGAGGCTTCAGCCCACAGTTTTTCCAGTTGCATTAACAGGACAGTAACCGCTTTCAGACTCTGAAAGTGGTGACCAAGCAAAGTAGCAATATTTGCTAATGGACTCAGGCAGCTGTTGCAATGGGATGTTGCAATGGGACATTGCAGACAGGGAACATCATCGTTTTTAGCCTCACCCTATGCAACTACTACCTATCCAAACACTTATAAGCTGGTTTCTCAGAACCTCTCTGCCACTCTTATTTTTGAAGCTTAAGGGAACTTTTTGCTTTACAAGAGAGATACCTTTACAAGAGAGAGAGGAGTAAGAGAAATTCTACACTTTCCAGCTCATTCACAAGGGACAAGTTTTTCCACCGTCCCCACTTCCACAGCATAACACACATGCAGAAACAACAGCATTTCCTGACCTTGTAAAGATGTACCCATAACAGATTTTTTTTCTTTTCTGTGTAATCTCACAGCTGGACATGAAGATGGCCAACACTCTGACCCGTTACTCCTCCAAGGGCCGTATGTGTTCTCCATTTGGCAACTGGACAGCTGCAGCTTTAGGACTTTGCCCTTTTTGTCTCCCTTATCTTTCCTTCTGTCATCTGCTTATTTTCCATTTTTATGATATTCTTTTTTGGTAGATAATAATGTCTTCAGGATTAGTGCTGGTAAGAGGCCAGGACAAAATGGCAGCACTAACAACTTTTGTTTGAATTAGGGTCAAAGAAAGATAATTTAGACCACAGACCTGGGGCCCCATTTTCCCATGACATTGGAAAAATCCACACAGAGAAGCAGAAACACTGAATACTTCAAATCCAAACCTCCCTGAGTTTATCCTCTTGGTACACAGCTTGCAGAAAAAGATGAGGTTTGTATTTCGACACCCATGGACAGGACTCAAGATGGACTGTACCACTGACTATTCTTTCTGCATATTTTTTTGTTTTCAGGAGCAGAATCCAGCATGGAAAAATCCACCTCTGTGGCTTCCCACCCCCTCAGTTGAAGGACCTCTCCTCCTAAGCTTCCCTCGGGGGACACAGACTTACTTAGCACGTGCCCAGGCCAAAATTGCTGCTTTCTTCCCATGCTGCCAAAAGATGCGCTGTTAGTGACATGCCCACTGCCCACATACCTTTTAGAGAGGAAGGAACTGGCCCTCAGTTTGGCTTTTTATTTTTCCCCATTATTTTTTAAATGGTTTGGTGTTTTTTTTTTTTAAGCCTGAAGGTTAAATGCTTCTCCTCTGAGCACAGCATCAGGGCAATCAGTTAAGGGAATATGCACTATCTCTTTCCCACTGGCCAAAGTGGGGAACTGTAAAATTCATCATAAATGACGAAAAGTAAGGCAGGTAGTTAAAATTCACACACTGTTAATGAAGTAACGCAGCTAATGGCTTTTCATGTGCTCAACCCTAGGGTACTCCTCTTAAAGAGATTTTATTTTCCCACAGGGTTAGGAGGATGAGAAAAAGCAGGTAGGAGAGGCTCTGCTGAAATCTATGTGAATTAAGCATCCATGTAATACCAGGACACCCTGCATTTGAAACCAGACCTCCTTCCCATGACCTGTAGCTGCTCCACAGGGAAACCCAGATCCCTAAGGCCTCCACCATTAGCTTCCCATGAGGACTGATAGCAAGAAGCTGTGGTAGGTGTGCACAGATCCTCCCTCCGCTGCAACATGGAGAGACTGGGAAGGTTGCAGAAAGACAGGTGGGAAATGAAAAGTGGGAAGAGGAGTAGGAGAAGCAGCAGCAGCAAGAGGGCCCCATGCCACTGCCTGGCCCCAGCAAAGGGTGATGGTTTTGTGAGGGAGTGGTTGGAGCAAGATGAAAAGCTCTGGATCACATGTGGGAGTGGGATATAGGGAAAGGCAGCCTCAGAGCCAGGCAGAAGGTGCTCAAGGATTAGTAGGGAGCACAGCACCTGCACAGTTGCCCTGGGACAGCCAGGAGCACTGCCAGCATGGATGGCTGATTGCACAAGCAACCGTGAAGTGAGGAAAGAGAAAAGAGGCCTTCTGGCAGTGCTGATGCTGCTGCGCAAGGAGTCTCCCTGACAAACATTAGTCTGCAAAATCTCCTCCCTGCTGGCATGGGAGGATTTGCTTTCTCATGCATTCTGCCTGACCACAACAGCTCTTGCATCTATCCAGTGTTTACCAACACTGAACCTGCATAAGGTTTGCAGTGGGTCCCCATCCTAAAGAACAGCAAAGCATATCCCTGCCTGTCCCAAAACCACCCGCAGACCACTTCTCTCATCTAGGGAAATGTCAAACTGCCCAGACTAGAAAAGCCACAAAACTGTGGGTGACTGGATTTCTGATACTCAAATTTCTCACAAACCACAACGTAAAGCACATGGCAGATTTTCAAGGTATGTATCTGTTAACTGACACCTGCAAAAGGGCACATGGAGGGAAAAATGGAGGAACAGCACAAATTACAGTCTTATGCCTTGTTAAAAACTCATGTAGCAGGTTCTCCAGAAAGCAGCATCTTGAAATCAGCAGTTGGGATTTATCCAGTAACTCAAGGCAAAGAATGACAAAAAAAGGCCACTTCTGCAGCCTAGACTTTCAAAGATTCACAGGAGTAACATGTCAGTAATGTGATTCAAACTTAACATTTAGATTAGATCAGGGTGGCAAGGCACTGGAATGTGCTGCCCAGAGGAGTTGTGGCTGCCCCATCCCTGGCAGTGATCAAGACCAGGTTGGACAGGGCTTGAAGCAACCTAGCAGAAGATGTCCCTGCCCATGGAAGGGGGTTGGAACTGGATGAGCTTTGAGGTCCCTTCCAACCCAAACCATTCTATGATTTTAGTAAAATATTTCAATAAAATATATTCAAGTTCTAAGAAGCATCAGTTTTCTGAAGACAGCTGAGGTTATAGAATGAACTGCAGGAAAGGTCATTAACACCAAATTTAAATTCATTGCTTATGCTTTGAAGTAAAGATGGTGCCTCCACCTGTGAGGGACATATTGCTTAAAGCAGAGATGAGATAGGTTCCTAAGTGAGAGCTGGCAAATGAGGAAGTTGGGTTGCTTTCTTGAGTTTCTGGCATAAATTCCTAGCTCTCATTTCCTACAGTTAAAGACTGACCAAACTCTCTTCAAGCCTCTTTTCTTTATAAATGAATCTGGAAAGTTCACTCCCCATAATTAGGAAAGCTGACTCTCTGTAAAGTGCTTGATTCAGCATGCAGAATGCTGTGCTATACATGTATGTGCTATACATTCTCACTTTCGCAGAAGACTTTTCTGTGAAGATGCCTAACAAACTAGCTTAGCAGGAGCTCAAAAGCAATTTTCAGAGACAACCTAAATGTGCTTTGTTAAGAAATAAGACTTCCTTTCTCATTCAGGTCAAGAAAAGCTTCATTAGATGCAATACAGAGAGTAATTTTCTGAGACCTAGTTCTATCAAAAAAAAAAAAAATTATTGAAAAAAACCAAACAAGAATAATACAGATTTTTTTTGCCTGTTAAAAAAGACAAGTGATTGACAAGAGATGTAGAGAGACCTGGCAATCTGCCTTTCCCCAGTGTTGCTGCTGATGAATAAGAGGATGAACACAGTGCAAGTGGTCATGGATGGCGATGTATAGACCTGGTGCACCTAGACCAAGTCTACTTTCACTATTTCCATTATCCACCAGGAGAAAAAGAAGAAATAAATACATAGAAGATATTATACACGCAGCAGCAGGATTTTATAACTAAACTCAGGTCATTCTGTCCTGATAAGGTCTCACAGCTACTTTTGCTTTAATTAGGTGTGTGTTTTTGAAGATGCTAAGACCTGAAGCCTGTCATCATGTACTTACATAGTCATCCTCATGCAGACCTTGCTTCTGAACAGAACTTTTCACCTCCAGGGAAAATTTCTCAAACTCAGGCTTCACGGACCTCAGCAGAGTGACGGTTTGGAGGTATGAGTATGCTTTCTTGGCTTCAAGGTCATGTTTGTCTCCTCTTCTCCAAGAGCCATTTCCTAAAAGGAAAACAAGAGTATTTCCAACTCCATATGAGGTACTATTACAGGGTTGCCTTCACTTTTCCTCCCAGAAGACCCCTCTACTGCACCTTGGGGAAATGGCAGAATACAAGAGAGAACTGAACCTGCTCCAAGACATGCAGGAAACCAGGCAGGGAAGAATGGCTGTTCGGAAGTAAACCTGCAAACATATGGACAACTTTACTCCCATGCTGCGCTTGCTTATTTTTAAAGGGTGGGATGAAGCCTAAGTGTAAGAAAACATCTCTGAGTGAAAAACATGTGCCAGATCTCAAACACAGAGATATTTAAGTGAGGAAGGATTCAGCCACAAAATTTGTTACACATCACTCCAGCAGTGACACTCTTGGGCAGTCAGAAAAGCATCAGTAAAGTCAGTAGTATGATCATCGCTTTCTTTCTTTTTTGACAGTAAACATTAGTGGAGAATTGCTCAGCTTCCTCAAAGAGAAGGAACAAAGGACCTGCACTTCTCTGGAGGACAAGTCTTTCCTCCTGCTGCTTTTGGCCCTGGGGCAGCTCTTATCACTCCCAGCACAGGGTGGGAGGCACAAAACCACCTGAGCTCTTTTGCCTCACTTTTCTACCACAGGAAAGCTTTATTTACCATAGCTCAGCATTAGCTGAGCTACTCTCTCCCAATACGAAGTTCAACTGGTCAAAATTACTTATGCCAGGACTTTGTTTATCAGACCTGATGAAAACACTGGAGAGCAGCTAACATCCTGCTGTCCAGTTTTGGTCTCAGAGGTAGTACTATCCCCTTCAGTGTTTGCACCCTGCCCTTGTTACTGCTTTTGAAAATGAAGAAATGCACATCTGGCAGTGGTAAGCTAGGACATCTTGCTAGCTTCCCCACAAGAGGGTACAAGTCCTGCCACAGCTTTAAAGCTGAAATCCTCTGCCCCAGCTGGGGTTACCTGCATTTCAGAGGTGCAGTATTTAAGAAACATGGCAGAGACTACAGCACAGGGGGCTTTGCTATAGCTTTGATTTACAAATGGAGGTTAAAATGAGAAGGATTATAGACAGGGGGGTCTATAGTCCCCTCATCAAATGATAGTGTTGGTAGAATGTGAGTAAGTTTCTGTCCTGGACACTATGCATACTTGTTTATAAAAATCCTGGCACTGGGAGCAGCGATACATACACTTGCATAACAGCGTTCCGAGAATAATTTACGTATTTAAATTCCTCCATGGACTATTTTGTGGGAGGTCGTCTTGCCACAGTGCTTATGTGCAATTATTGCAGCTTTGGCATCTAGTGTGTCTGCTCTTCTGAAAAATTAAAAATATTCAGAACAGAGGGCAGCAGCAAACTGAAACACAGTCATCTGAACTTCACGGCACAATGCCAATCTTCCAATCACACCCAGTCTTGGGTTTTGTAGCTTTTATAAGGTATACAATCTGCTATTGCCAGGCACTGGTAACAAGGAACTTTAAGGGAATTTCTCTACATTTCTCCTTTATGCTTGCTTTCCACATGTGATGACCATCTGCACAAAAGTTAACTTCTGATGCACAGTCGTTTCACTCTCCATGGAAAACACATCCACAAGGAAACAGAAAAACAGGTTTAAAGGAATTATTAGTGATGTCAGGAAATGCCATGTTCTAACTACACTACATCACAAGACAGAGAGTTTTTATTAATCCCTTGGAAAAGCAACAAAACTGGACTACCTGTGATGCAGAGGAGGATGGCGCTGAGGCTCCCACACAAAGGTGGGGCAAACAGATACTGCATGGAGGTCCCACGCCAGGATGGCACAGCCCTGCCCTGCTGGGACAAAGTGCCGCCTACTGGGGGCTGCGTCACTGCAGACACCCACCCCACATCAGCTGTGACACCAGGGTCCCTCCTGGGACAGTGTGCTGAGCCTGGGGACTGCACACTGCCTCATACAACTGTCACTACCTCCTAGCAAATACCATCCCTGAAAGCAAAACCATTCCAAAAAACAGCATCCCCACCTCCTGCAAACACTGTTCTTATGTGACCAAAATTAGAATCATGGAATAGTTAGGGTTGGAAAGGACCATAAGATCACCTAGTTCCAAGCCCCCTGCCATGGGCAGGGACACCTCACACTAAACCATCTCACCCAAGGCTCTGTCCAGCCTGGCCTTGAACACTGCCAGGCATGGAGCATTCACAGCTTCCTTGGGCAACCCATTCCAGTGCCTCACCACCCTTACAGTAAAGGACTTCTTCCTTATATCCAATCTAAACTTCCCCTGTTTAAGTTTTAACCCGTTACCCCTTGTCCTATCTCTACAGTCCCTAATGAAGAGTCCCTCCCCAGCATCCCTATAGGCCCCCTTCAGATACTGGAAGGCTGCTATGAGGTCTCCACGCAGCCTTCTCTTCTCCAGGCTGAACAGCCCCAACTTTCTCAGCCTGTCTTCATACGGGAGGTGCTCCAGTCCCCTGATCATCCTCATGGCCCTTCTCTGGACTTGTTCCAACAGTTCCATGTCCTTTTTATGTTGAGGACACCAGAACTGCACACAATACTCCAGGTGAGGTCTCACAAGAGCAGAGTAGAGGGGCAGGATCCCCTCCTTGGACCTGCTGGTCACATTCCTTTTGATGCAGCCCAGGATACGGTTGGCTTTCTGGGTTGCAAAAGGCTGGAAGGACAACTCTAAAGTGTCCCAGCCATCTTCAGTACTTCCCAGGTAGTCACCCTGAGCTCATTTCAGCCAAGGCAAGGAAACCATCAGTTGCAGGGGATGATTCATCTGAGACACTATGGATAGCTAAAGATGAGGTGAATCATTGTCCAGGGGCACCTGCTTCTCTCCTGTGACTCCAAAGGGGGCCCACCTCACACACAGACTTGTACCTATGGCCAGATGAATCACTTCTGATGCATTTCTACTCTATGAGATGAAACACAGCAGTAGCACAGCGGTAACGAGCCACTGCCATCAGCTAGAGGGGTTATTTGATCAGTGATTTCTAGTAAAGTGAAGCCTGCAAAGCTCCCAGTGTCTACAGAAGGGCCAAAACTTCAGTGTTTTGTGACTGCTGACAAGGGTAGACCTTCAGCTTTTTGCTCTGGTTCTGATTAAGGTTGCAATGCCAAATGGTTTTCCCTGTGCCACAAAGGATAACGTCACTCCAAATTCAACTCAACAAAAAGAAAACCTTGATTCTAACCATTGGTTCTGATCTCATTCTGCAACTTTATGTTTCACTTATTTAACTGATGTCCTTACTACCTGTCAAAACTTGGAACTGCTTTAGCTAAGCTAGACAATACATGGAGCAGGATCTGTACTTCCGTACATATCTGTATCTCTGAATTTAAACAGCTACATACCGAGCTCTTCAACAAACATTACTGTTTACTGTAAAATGATCTTAAACGTGGTAGATGAGTAACAAAAAGTTTATGCAAAAGAATTTAGCTCACAATTATCTGATTTCTTAAACAAAATACATCATCGTCTTGTGAATTCAGCTGTTCCCATTGGTTTGCTTTTTGAGGCTTAGAAGAAAGAAAAAAACCCAAGTTTTCCTCCTTTCTCAACTCCCACTTGATTTTTAATTTGAAGTGAATTTGTCATTGTAGTGGATAAGGCAGCCCATAGGGTGGAAATTATCTTCTCTGCACCTGCAAAAGAGGGTGCTCCTTTCAAAAGCCATGTTGACACTTCAGCAAAACCTAGTTCCCAGGCATGAACTCTCCTTAGCTTCAGCCACCTGATGCTGTTTAAAACTCAGCAAAAAACACTGCTCCTGTATTACTTTAACTGAGACAGCTGTAAGCAGCTGAGAGCAAGTTTAGTCCCTGCCACACAATCCCATGATATCAAATGTAATTCAGTGTAGGGACATTTCAAAATGCAAATGTATTTAATTTACATTTAAAGTCATATTTTAAATTGACAAATCTGATTCTTTTTACTCAGGGGTGGAATCAGCCACCTTTACCCACTCTACTCTAGTAAATCTGGACAGTCCATGTCCCATCCAGTGCTTTCCTTTCAACACAACACTACTGAACATTTTTGCAGATGCAGTTTCTGATCAAAAGCTAAAACAAATTAGATATGTGGATCCCCCAGCACAGAGATGACTTCTGGAGACCCAGGCCCTGTGGCTGCCCATGGCTCTGGCCACTGCTGGTGCCTCCTTTCAGCCACCTTCAAGAACAGCAGGGCACGGGCAGCGAGGAATACCCTGCCCTGAGATGTGACAGTGACAAGCTGGGGATTGTGCAAGCTACCCAGAGCTGAGCACACACGCCACAGCACGGGGTACCCACACCTGGCTGCTACAACCATTGTCTTCTTCTGGTGCTGCTCCCCCTACAACTAAGCAAGTAACACCTATAGTGTATTTGGGACCTTGTGATCCACCAGTGGCACCTAGAGTCATCAGCTTTTTCACTTCTTGCAATATCAGAGCCCCAGGGGAAGATAACTGCAACCACAGGGAGAGACAGTGGAATATTTTGGGACTCGGTGCCGCATATTTTGAGCCTAAGAGATCTAAAAATATTACCAGGCTTACAGAAGATTTTGTAACATACTTGGGCAGGAAGAACATTACCATATGATGAGCTGTTGAAGAGTTCAATATTGAAGAAAGCGTAGTCCCCATTGGTCATTCCTTGCCGATGAGCAGCCAGCATGATGTTCCTGATTGTGTCACCTCTGGCACACATGATTACAACTGGTGGAAGAAAATGAGGAACACAGATAAGAGGCAGTTCAAGAACTTCAGGGAACAGGCTGTTAAAGCATGAGCGCTGCCGGAGACAGTGACCCCAGCTGTCCTCTCAGTATTGCAACAAACATGCCAACACAGATAGCAAACAAAGCTCATTTCCCAGGCTGCTGATGGAAGACAGGTACCAAACATGGACGCTTCCTCCTTCCTTGTCTCCTCTGAAAATAATTAAATAATATATATATATATAAAGATATATATAATTTAATAATTTATATAAATAATTTATATAAAAATAATTAAAGTTCTTTTTATCCCTCCAACATGTGATAAGTTCTGGCCTCAAAGTTCTTCAACTGCATGTATTTGTGGAGTCGATTGCAACCATAAGCCTTAGTTGTTACTTCTAAGTGTCATATACTGAAAAGTACTTAGCGAAGTACACTACGTAAGACAATCTCAAGATAAAAAACTAAGATGATACAATGGCATTATCATTTTAATTTCCAGTCCATTTAACAGTTTGGTGTAGAGTCATCTTGCCTACAATTCAGCTACCTAAAATTTAAGTATCTGGTGTAGAATTTGTTGCCTCTCTACCATTAACAGAGAGAAGCATCTCTGCAGCTAAGGACAACCTCTTCAGAATGTGACTTTCTCTCCAGGGACTATACAATAAGCCTAGTCAACGACCTTTGAAATGACACTTAATATTCAGAAATGGGAAAAGCAAATGCCACTTTCTGTGAAGATTAAAGGTGGTTACAAGATTAAATGCCACAGAGACTTGTTTATAAAGGCGCTTTGCTGCTACAATAGGACCTACAAGTCCACAAGTGTGCTCCATGCAGGCACCACAATCCACTTTGTGACAACTGTGGTTGAGAAGCCTCTTCCCTAACCTGAGGGCAGGAGGCAACTACTTCCCTTGCTACCCCTTCCCTCTGCAAAGGGAAAGCACAAACTCAGGTGAGGTCTTCAGCAGTTGTGACACAGCTCCCCCACTGAGCATGTTACACTATAAACTTCTTTATAGGTTTGTAAGTCTGTGTCTGTGAAGCTACCAACATCAGAGGGAGCTGCAAAGTATTGTACCAGTGTGCACTTTGGGGCTATATCCTACAGCAAAGTCATAAGAGATCCTGTTGGGATGATAATTCAAAACCAACTGCACACACGTTTCCAAGAGCACCGTCACACATGGCAGGGCTCAAAAGATACAACAACGTACGCAAATATTTTGAACCCAACAATAAAACTGAATCAAAACTACATTCAGCTTTTCTGCATAGAAGTGTTTGCTGTTGTAAGAAATGAAAAGGCCAAACCGGCCAAATCTTTTTCACACACAATGAATCTTCTCCTGTCGCTTTGCTGGTTGGATGCCACCACAGGCATACAGCTCCATATGAGCCGCTGGGGTTAGTCATGTTCAGTACGTCCCCACACTTCAGGAGAGTTATACCATGCATAGCTCTATCTTACCAATTATAGCAGCACAATATAATAATTTCCAGAGCAACAGAGCAAGATGTATTTCATGACCATTGTGAAGTATATTAGCATGAAGGAAAAGAAGAAGAAAAAAGAAATTCTTACACTAAAATTTGCATCAAATCTTTTCCAGATGCACATCAGGAATGAATTTGTCTCACTGTTCCTAATTTCTGTTTAGGTGAGAGATTTCCTTTTGAAACATTTCCTTGTACTCCCAATTCTCCCTTGACTTTGCCTTTATAATTCACATTTTTCATAAAGCTGTAATCTGGAGATGGAATCAAGGAGATTCCCACAACACTAGTAACAGACCTTGAGAAAAAGGAATAAAGAAAGAGTGTGTGTGTGGGTAAACCTACTTTAAAATGTATTAAATCATATTTTGTAAGACTCTAAAGGAAGGTAAGGGAAGTAATATTAACCGCTTGGATGTGGTTTTTAACACAGCAGGAGAGCTAAGATTACATATTTTAAGATTCTGAAGCAAATAAGCTACGGGCATGTCTCTCGCAATCTTCAAGAAATGTAAATTATGTCTACGTAATCTGCATCTGTACTTTACTATTGTGTATATACAAATGTGTGCGTGCAAACACATACATAATGTCTTCCCTCCGGTATAATAAATGTAGACCACAGTAATTCTAATACTAATATTCCGAATTTATTGATTAGGATTATTGACTCATCCTGCAAATACCTGACAGTTTAATTCCAGTTCCCTGTGCTACACGCACCCCCTCACTATATGCCTATGCCAGAATGCATTTAAGCACAGTCCAGCGTTTGTGGACAGCATTATGGTAAACCCGAGCCTACAGCATCGTCTGCAGCGTGGCTAAACAAGCCTGCAGAGCAGCTTGAACTACTAATGAAATTCATTAAAGTGGTTAACTTTTATTATCATATTTTACATCACAATTTTGTTGTGGCTCCAAGACTTGAGCCTTTTGCAGAGGCTCCAGGGACTGAGCAGGCAGCCCCTGGCAAACACTGGTGCATGGGCAAGCATGCCCCTGCCTCCAGGACCATCGAGAGCCTGGTGCAAGCCCCCAGCCAGCAGCAACCTAGCCCATGGGGCCAGCCTCTGCCACACATCCCCAAGGGCCAGCTGGTGGGGCAGCTTCTTTCTCAGCCCTGGCAGAGTTTTCCACAGGTCTCCTGTATTTGCTTGAATGCCCACTACCACTCAGGCATCTCAAGGAAACCCAAACATTCAGATAGGACCAGCACCAGCAGCAATCTCTGTAAACAGAGAAGGTGCAGGGTCAGAGCCAAGGACAGTGTCACCGTAGCCCTTAAAAACGGGTGGGAAACCAATCAATCAACCAAAAACATTCCTAGAAAGAGCTTTGGATAATGTCTTGTTGCCCACAAGCCCTAATACCCTACTGGGGGACCTCCAACGAGTTCATAGGAGACATGAAAACTTCACCTGGTCAGCTAAAGCACACGGTGCACCCTTCAGATGATATATGACTTCTAAAATATTGTGACAACCTAAAAGATGCCATGAGCAGCAGGACCTCCTCAGGCGGAGGAACATGCCAGCAGAGTCCTGCGGTCAGTCTTTCAAGTAAAAAAGGCACAAGTGGAACCTGAAGGGCCCAAAGGGCACAAGGAGGGGAAAGAAGACACAGCACTGCTTTTGTTTAGTCATTTGGAAGTTACAAACTGATGCAAGACCAAAGGTCTCAGCTCAGCAAGCATTTAAGCCCAGGCTGAAAGCAAGCCTCTCTTTCCTGACTATGCAGACTTAAGAGCAGGGTTCTCTTTAGCCATCAGTCATGTTCCCATTGCATAGCCACAGCTCCCTATGCCTAAAGGTGAATATTGTCTTTTTCTGCTGTAAGCATGCTGCTATTCTCTTAGCATCAGGAAAGCTGAGCACGCACACACACACACAAGTTATGCTGGTTAAAAAAGAAAAGCATCTTTCCCCACACAGCAGTTTCCTCTAGCACCTACACAAGTTCCCTTGTCCCCATTCAGTGTATTTCCCACATGGCACTTACTAGGAAAGTTCTACTTTAACCACCTGCTTCAGTGAATAAAGAATTAAAAAGCCATAAGCTATTAGTCCTCAGGTATTTCCCACCCACTCCTGAGCACATTAAGGATTTCACAGCAGCGTTAACAACACCTGCAGTGCAAGGTTACTCCATCCGCAGCCTACAGCACCCAACACCAGTTGTGACAGCCACACACAGCATCATCTTTATCAGTCCAATTTGGATGTTATTTTAACATTCTATAACCAGAGATGAAGAAATTGTACATAACACTTTGCACACACCTACACCTCTTTCAGAAAACAGCTAAGGAATTTCTTCAATGCTATCCTGCTGCCTGCTCCTGATCCACACCTTTTCTTTTATTTTAATAACTTAGTGGGGAAGCCCCTGGCTGCTAAAAGCCTCTAAAAGAAAATGCCTTTTCAATTACCCATGTATCCGCACGTTGCTCGGCACGACCTCACTTTAAAACCCATCTAACTACAATCTGCACATCCCAAAGCGCTCTGAGCGGTTTACTACTTCATGATGCAAAACCAGTTCATCTAGCCCACGGGTAACTTTCCAAGATGTTTTAGAAGCCATTTATCTCCACAGCGTTTTGCTAACAGTTGGTGGCAATATTATTGCACACACAGGTTTTGCATCCACACATCCCCCAAAATGACCACTTCCCCTAAATGCATTTGTTATTTATGAGGTACTCAACAGGGCTTCCTATGGCAGGAGCAGGGAAAAGGATCCCCGCTGCAAGACACAGCAGGGTGAGAAGAAAACATTTTTGCTTAGACTTTGAACCTACAGAGAGTGACTGTGCTAATTTCAGAGAATAAGCAACTGATTTGCTGCTCCGCAGATGCAGGCGATTTTGGCTAACCCAGACCTCTGGCAGAAAGCTCATTTCTTAACCATGCCACAGAACCCTCCCAGTGTGGTTCCTGAGGGTGAGTTTCACTCTTCGCGGTGGGGTGCAAAGCTGTGATAGACTTCTGTGGGCACGGTTTTCACTCAGGGCAGTTGGTCCCTGTCCTTTGCGGGATGCCTGGCCCAGGGATGCCGGCCCACGTGCCTCCCCCGTCCCACAGGATCTTCCCTCTGCAGTGCTCCCACCACCCCTCCCTGACCCCATCCACCACCGCGGAACCGAGCCAGGCATCCACCGCCACTCACCCCTCTCGCCGGTCTGCAGGGCGCGAACAACGTCGTCGATGTCGAGGTGCCGGCTGCTCTCGTCGAAGCTGTGCACGGCCATGTGGAAGGCCTCCTCTTGGAAGACCACATGGACGCCCTCCATGGCGAAGTAGCAGCTGCGCTCGGGGTTGCTGTCGCTGTAGAGCAGCGTGGCCCGGCTCCACTGGTGGTGGCGGAATAGGGCCAGCAGCATCTCGCCCATCTTGGCATAGGCCGGGGCGACGCGGGTGAGGTGCGAGTACTCGCCGCCCTTGGCGCCGAAGCCCGCGGCCAGCGCCCCCGCCGACAGCATGGGCACGTCCCAGTGCGCCGCCAGCCGCGCTACCGGCGCCGCCGCGTACTCGCAGACGGGCCCCAGCAACAGGTCGGGGCGGCGGTGCTGCAGGGCCACCATGTCCACCAGGCTGAACAGGGCGCGGTTGCCGCACGCCGAGTCCTCGTAGGTGAGCTGGAATGTGTACCCGGGCGGGAGCCCGGCGCCGCTCTCCCGCAGGCTCCGCACCGCGTACTCGATGGCGGGACGCACCCGCCCCAGCGAGAAGAGGTAGGTGTCGTCCTGCGGCAGCAGCACCAGCACCCGGATCAGCTTCTCCTCCTCCTCCTCCTCCGCTCCCGCGGAGCCGCCTCCCAGCGCCGTCCGCGCCGCCAGCACGCAGCAGAGGCTACCGAGCAGCCAGGGCGGCATCGCGCCCGCCCCCCCGAGACGCCCGAGCTGCGGAAAAGTTTTCTTCCCCCCTCCCGCCTCGAAATTGTTCGGTCGTGTTTTATTGCTCAGGTGTTTGGCGGGTTCACAACCTGTCCCCGCCTGCGGGTTACGGATGGAGCATCTCGGCTCTGCTTGTCTTGTTCTCTTATAGACTATGATTATTACTATTACTACTACTGCTGCTGCTGCTGCTGCTGCTGCTGCTGCTGCTGCTGCTAGTACTAGCGTCTTCCCCCGCCCGCCCCCCCCGCCGGATTCCCCCGCGGGGCTGCCGCGCTGCGCCCGCCCGCTTAAGTAGCGCGGTTCGGCGGCGGTTCTCCGCACGCCCCGCGCGGCGCGGCCGGGTTTGTGCGTAGGGAGGAGCCGCAGCCGTGCTCCCGCCCCCCCCCCCCTCCACGCCCCCCCCGCACCTCTGCTGCCGGCCGGCACCGCTGGGCGGGGGGAGCGCTTATCGCCAGAGTCTGGGTGTGCGTGGACCGCCTGATCGGCCACTGCCCTCCGCTCCAAGCGAGCCCCTGCGACTGCGAGGAAAGGGACCCATCGCGCTCTCATGTGCTTAATGTTTTGGGGTTGCTTCAGCCTGCTTAAGCCGCTCTTTCCTTTGCGTAGGAAAAGCGTTTGATCCCCCTCCGCATTCCCGAGGGCTCGGTGCGCGGCAAGGCTGGGGGATTTGGGGAAAGGGGCTTGAAGCATCAGCAGTGGGGGATGCAGGCAGCGCCCTCAGGAGCGCTGCGGTAGGGCACAAGCAGGGCTGCTCGGCTCCCATCTCCTTACCTGAAAAGGTGCCCGTGCTCCCGGTCTCTGGAACCCTAAGTGGAAGACGGCAGTGGGTCCCTGACCTCAGCCTGTGTCCTGCGATCTTCTGAGACCCCCATAGCGAGAAAGCCCAGGTGCAGTTTCTGCTGCTTCCCACCCACTGCATCTGAGATACAATTGCATGCCCCAAGCAGCAGAGGTTTTCCCCAGTGAAGGAGGCATGTTCTGAGACTATTTTCTCGGGGAAAAAAGAAGAAGAATGATAATTTTTTAAAATTATCTTAACAACGCTGCCTAGTAAGATCATGTTAAATATATCCCTGTGCAGATCTTGCTGGCCATAAAGCTGCTATACCTAAGATTTTGTTAATGTCCGTTTAAAATGGACACTGTTCTGGGATAAAGTCCATGCAAGATGTGCAAAATGTTTCAGCAAAGAGGTTTTGGAATACCTGATGCTTTTTGACAGCAGAATTACAAAAGATGTCTCTGTGGAGTTTTCCATGCCCACAGCCTGCATCCTCAAACCCAGAGAGGGCTGCATGGTTTGATGTTTTATGGTTACTCGCAGAGTGCCAGGTTTGCATTTGAAAGGTGAGTGAACAGCTCCTGGCTCTACGGAAGGGGTTTGTTTAGTTCAGCCAGGAGGTCGTGGTAAGAGCAGTGTGTGTAAACTTACTTTTGTTGCTGCCTTCACTGTGCAGCCCATGAATGGGAAACCGGCACTCCTGGGGCAACCATCTGCTCACCTTTAAGATGCCTTGGTTAAAAAGGAATCTGGAAGTGCTTGTGCAATTACAGCCAAGAAGTGGAATGAAAGCCGCAGGTAACACAGACCTACAGAAATAACCATCAAAAAAAATAGCTTTTTTCTTTCAGAAGCATTTGTCTAACAGGGGCTCAGTAAAATAAAGAAGCTCAGAAATTCAAGGGCGGGTAGCGACCCCGAGAAATGTGCCTCTCACATAGCTTTATTTGATTACTGAATTGAACTTCAGAGTGTTCTTGAAGATTACATAAACATCCTCCCTGGTGAAGCTGGTCTTGTATGTTCCTGTGCTGTAAGTTATGTCAGGCATTTTTTTGTTGTAAATGAGTCCGTATAACATAGTGGGGATTAAGCGGAATGTTACAATATACAACACACCACCCATCTTCACCACGAAGCTTGCAAAAACATTTTCTTAAGACACATTTTGAAATGCTGACCTTTGTAGTCGCTGCTTTATGATGACCCTACAGATGTGTTTACAACACTGAAATCTGGATGGATTTCTCTTGATTCCCCCTTCCCCAGCCAGAATATCTTTTCCATTTTACATGTGAGTCCCATACTCTCCTAGCTGACTTTTTCTGAGCGTAAGCTGTGTAAACACAATGGAAGAGATAGTAAGCCCATAAATCTCAGGGCTGCCATCCATTCACACTGACTGCTCCTTGTGAGGTGAAGTGCTGCTGGGAATGAATCAGAGTGGGAGAAGCAGGGCCAACATGGGGCAAAAGAGAAACAAAAGGCATCTTGCCAGCACTGTGTAGCAGTAGGAGCATCAAAGACCAATTTTGACGCTTTCAGAAAAAGGTTTGGCCTGCAGCATGTGGTCCTTTTTCACCTGAACAATTGCATTCAGCCTTATGGGAGTCAAACTGTCTCTGAAGGCCCAAAGTGTCATGAACGTTTCAGTTGTTTCCCTTCACCCTAACTGGTTTTATAAAGAAGAATCCCAGCCTGTGATTGATTTATTTCTCTGAGCCAGAAAGTTATGCATGAGAATTTTCTCGTTAGTCCCAATTCAAAATGTCACTTAATCCACCTCGCTGTTACAGTGTTTTCCATAACGATAACTTGAACATTTCTCCATGGGCATTTTGTTTTATTTTTTTTTCAGCTACATAAATGCTTTTTAATAGGAACCAATCCTGCACTTGTGAATCAGTAGCAGGCAGAATGCCTGCAGACTGCAGCAAGAGCAGAGATTTCAGGCTGGCCCTTTAGGACTAAAGTAATTTCAGACACAGGCTATCTTTCCCCTAGAAATAACTCATACACAAATCAAGAATCACTTCACTCGCTCCAGCTAGCGTTAGCAACAGTCTGAACTGCTTGCTGCAGATGAAGCAAACTCAGGTTCGCTGAAAACACAGTCCCCCCTAGAGGCTGAAAAGATGAAGTATTTTAACGTCATCTGTGCAGCAGATACATCTTGCTCTCAGACTTCTAAATTCTTTCCTTGTTTTTTGAGAAAACTATTGTCTTTTTATTTCAAGGAATCTGCCCTGTTTAGGAAAACAACTAAGGGATTTCTTACTGCAACAGTATATGGGTTCTGTTTTTGTGCTTTGTGTTCTTACCTTTGTATACTTGCTTTATGTAAAAATGAAAAGAGTTTTTAGGTGAAAATATTGTAGCATGGAAACTCAACATGAACTAGTCTGATGCTAAAAAAAGTAGAGGGAAAGGGGACATATTTACTTGGTTTTCTTTTAATTGACACCAACTTCTCTGTAGATACGTATACGATAACTACAGAGTAACAAAACTGCACACATAAAATGTGAGCATACATGCACATACAGTATACAAAACTTTGCAGAGCTTGCTACTCTTGTTATCTTAACACCTTCCACTTCACAGCACAAAGTAAGGTGAAGGCGGGCAGGTGGATGTCATTTTTCTTTTACAAATGGAGAGGACAGGACTTGGGAGGGCAAACTGATGTCCCAGAGGTCTAAGGTGATCTCAAGATCATCCCTCCACTACACTGCTTACCTTCACTACTGCTGCTAAAATCCTGGCTTGATGGTCCTCAACAATCACTCAGTGCTACTGCTACCCATCCTTTACCACCGATACTGGAAGGTGAGCTGAGATGCAGTCCCACAAGATATGTGCTGTTCAATCATGCTAGGCTAAAAAAGAGTGAATCTCCCGCCACTTCTTCCTCTTCCATGAATAATAAAGATTAAATTTCTTTTCATGGCTGTTCAAGCATGAATAATACTTGAATGCCTGACACCCCATATGACATGGGCAAAATGCAGCTTCATACACAGCAAATGTTATTTACATTAGTCGTTAGCTTTTTAAAGCACCTGCATGGTTCCACTGGAGCCTGTGGAAGGACATTTCATAAGTTGACATCATTACCTTTTTACAACACATGCATGGTTCCATTGAAGCCTGTGGAAAGACATCATAAATTGACAATAAAACCTTCAAAGTAACTTTTATTTCTAATAAGGAAGAAGGGTTTGTATTTATTTTCAATTTAAACAAAGATTCCCCACTCTTCCTCTGTTTTTACACGTACTTTCAGAGATGAGAATAATATTGAGAGAGCAATTACTAGTATAACCTGGTCAAGTACCCTATCAGATTGCCTGTCTCCAAAATGCACCATTTTCTTCTGCTGGGCTACATTGGAAAATACTAACTTCCTTTAGGCAACCATTTTCCATATTTATAGATTAATATCTGGGTATAGAACATACTCTTTATGCTAACTGTACTAAATTAGAAGGATAAAGTATCTTGGTTTGGATCAAAGTGATGCTATGATTTTCACTGTTGTTTTCATTTCCATGTCATAGCACAACACCTACAAAATTTGTCCCTGGGGTTTTACTATGGTAAATGTCTTGGACTCTTTCCTGAGCTCAGTTCAGCCTTCGATGGTCACCACTGAAGTGCATAGGACAATGGCCACCTTGTTCCTTATGGGCATTTATCTCCGTCAAGAAGATAAGTAGGAAGTGCTAAAATACAAACATATGCTGTTCCTTACCAACATCATGGCAGTTCTCGCCACATGACTTTAAAGGCTTCGAGAGCAAAGACCATTTCTGCTTGAGCTTTAGTAACTCTACACTAGGTGTCCATATTGCTTGTAAAAGAAATGGTAGACGTGTTACCACGGTGTCCCTCAAAACCAGAGTTAGGATCAGACACCCCAGATCCACTGTCATCCAAAGAGCTGTGTTGCTGTTCCGTGTAATCTCAAAGCAGGAACTATTCTGATGTGTTCATGTATCAATGGAACAGAAGTCTCACAACATAAAGAAACCAAACACCTATGCTTTGGCTGGGTATTCATCACTTCAGGCAGTATCAGTTTACATAGTAATATCAGCCTGGGAGCTGATTATGAATATTCTGAATTCATTGATATGGTTTGCAGTTGATTTGGTGTGGCAGAGCAAGAAATCTGAATGGACAGCATCATTATGTCTTTTCTCTTGCATGCTGATTAAGATCATGGGGAAAGCATGGGAAGAAACTTTTCTAATACTATTGACAGATCTTGTTCCTGTGAGTCGATTTAAAAAATATTTAATTAAGTAAAAATATGTGCTTCAGGAGTTCTGTAATTTCCAGTTTATTAAAGTATAGATGTGATAAGAAATAAATGCATGGACTCA